TTGTTTTACGAGGGAGGAGAAAATCTTCGCTAGCCCTCACTCGAGGGGGACCCCGAAGGGATACCCATCGGGAAGAGAAGACATCCAGCGACCCGCACCACTGGATGTGCCGGATTCAACCGCCCCGTGATCTCGAGGAATACACCGGAGCGGCCGCCTACCGACTAAAAATTCCCCCCTTTTGCGTACTACCGCACAGACAAAAGGAGGGTACCCCGGAACCGCTTTCTTGCATATCATCAGGGTATCCCCCAATCTTTAGAGCTAGTATGCTCTTTCCCGCCATACGAGTTCACCAATACTATTCTGCAGCACTGTCTCTCCGCAAAATACACACAATGAGTAGCAACTCACTCTAACGTGAACATACCTGTAGGGTCATTAATTAATTAGCTTAATTTTATACACATCTCGCTCTCAACGCACAGCTATACAGAACTATATATACAGGAATATATACAAAAATACGTACACCCGCATACACCCATACACTAGCGACGCAAAGCCACTACGGCTCCTCATCGGAGCTATGCATATACGGAAGAGAGATCAGCGCACCCCCTGGCGGATTTAATCCCCGCTCACGAGCGCGCTCATCCTCCTCCTTCCGCCGCATAACCACCTCGCACAAGTCCACAAAAACGGACCACGCTTCGGGAGAACGCACGATGGCTCTCACCACCGCCCGGAAGGTTCTATCAACCCCCACGATCTCCAGCAGCCCACTCTTTCGCTCCGCCCAAGCCGGACAGAAGAGAAGAGTATGCGCCGCCGTGTCTACCGCCGTCCGACAGAATAAACAGATCGGGGATTCCCGCCGTCCAATCTTGCATAGGTAGGATTCAAAGACCCCATGCCCCGTTAGAATCTGAGTGATATGGTAGGTGACCGCACCGTGTGCCCTCCCCATCCAGATCCCCAAATCCTCCACAAAGGCGCCCCTTACAATAGCACCAGGGCATCCCGAAGGCTGGTCAACTAGACGCTCACGCCACTACGAAACAGAGCGGCGATGCTCCATCTCAGCCAGTATTGAGCTCACCCGAGGAGCAATATCCCCATCCCTAGCTATAATCACCAGCCGCCGAAAATATGACCTTCTCAGTCGATCTGCAACTACAGGGACCATTATAAAAGTAATGCGCATTTTCTGGGAAAAATAGATTTATTGATCGTAAGGGTACAAATGCTCAAAATTCTACAAAATACTCTCCCCCTGAATCAATACACTTGCGGAGACGTGTCTGCCACGCCTGGAAGGAACGCTGAAACTCCTCGACGGGAATGTCTCTTAGGAACGTTGTAACATGCTTTTGGATGTTTTCCACGGACTCCCAATGCTTTCCTTTCAGCTCTCTCTTCAGACGGGGAAACAAAAAAAAGTCGCACGGAGCCAAGTCGGGACTGTAAGGGGGCTGGAGAACCACTGGGATGTTGCACCGGGCCAAGTAGTTGGCAACGATGAAGGCTGGGGGCATTGTCATGGTGGAGCTTGATCGCGTCTTTGATGTCAGCCTCACGTGCGCGACCCAGCGTTTCAATCTCTTGAGCACCTCCAGGTAGAAGGCTGAGTTGACAGTTTCTCCCTGCGGTACAAACTCAAAATGGACGATTCCTCGGACGTCAAAAAAGACAATGAGCATCGTTTTGATGCGAGACTTGCTCATTCGCGCTTTCTTGGGGCGGGAGGATATTTTGAGTGCCACTCGTTGCTCTGCCTTTTCGATTCTGGGTCGTACTCGAACATCCAAGTTTCGTCTCCGGTTACGACAGAGTTAAGAAAGTCCGGCTCCTTTTGAATCAAATCCAACAATTCTTGACAGCGCGACACTCGAAGTTCTTTCTGGTCTTCCGTCAACACTTTCGGCACAATCTTCGCGCAGACCTTGCGCATTTGCAGATTCTCCGTCACTATCTCATGTACCGCACATGTGGACATGTTTAGGGTGTCAGCGACGTACTGGATACTCAACCGACGGTCGGAACGCAAAACTTCGCACACACGATTCACGTTTTCGTCGGGTCTGGCCGTTGTTGGGCGTCCAGAACAGGGTTCGTCGGCGCCCTCCTCCCGGCCCTCCTTGAACGCCTTGTGCCACATCACGGACTGTGACCTTGAAATGCAGTCGTCCTTGAAGGCCTCTTGAAGCATCTGGAATGTTTCGGTTGCATTCTTTCCAAGTCGCATGCAAAACTTGATGGCGTATCGCTGTTCAAGCGAACGCTCCATCGCGCCGTGTTACAAAGTCGAAAAACACACTTCACGCGGAGGCACGTCTTTCAACTCAGACTGCTCGGAGCAAACGAGCGACCGGCTGCCTTGAAAGGGCAGCCCCCCCACCACATTTCCCGACCCATTTTACCCCGCTGCGATGGATATTCGCGTCACAATAAAATCATGCGCATTACTTTCATAATGGACCCTGTATATCAAATGGAACCACCCCCGAGCCGCAGACTCGTGGGAAATTGTACGGTATCCACGGATTATCCTGAGGGCGAGCTGCTGTTGCGGTCTACGCACATCCCTCAGGATCCCGCGATCACCTGCCACAGTTTGCGCCCAGATCGAAGCGCCATGCAAAACAACTGACATGACTGTTGTCGCCTACAAACGCCGCCGCCGCTCGCCAGGACCGCCAATGTTGGTGGTAAGACGCGCCAGGGCATCGCCATGCCCCAAGCCTTGGGCAGAAGGAGGCGGAAGTGGTCTCGGAAGGTCCACCGCGAATTCAGAGTTAGATCCAGGTATTTCACGACAGACCCAATCGAAACCACCACCCCCTCAACCCGAATAGTAGCACCGACCGGCATTCCCTCGGCTGAGAAAGCCGCAGCCTCGTTAGTCTTAGCAACGGAGACCCTCAGCCCAAGGCGTTCTATAGAACGGATCACAAAGGTGGTCCCCACCTCAGCCCTCACACGCGCCTGCTCGAACGAATCAGCATATGCCATTAAAAGGGTATTGTCTGCATAACATGTAACCGAACATCCGATCGGCAGTCGGAACCTCAAAATAGAATCATATCCAACGTTCCACAGGATCGGTCCCAACACAGCGTCGGTCCCATACTGGCCGTCCGCGACACCCCCCGACGCATCCAGGAAGGCATGCAGTCTACGGACCACTACTCTTTTTTTTTTTTTTTGATAACGGAGGGGAAATGCCTGACGCATACCCCGAGCCTCGGGAGAGAGCCCGGGGTTATGTGGGGCTTGCACTCACTAAACCCCCTCCGAGTGTCCTTACCTGGCCTTGCATGAGGGACTCCCAGGAACGCGTGCAGCATACTTCTGGGAGTCCCTCAACGGACCACAACCCTCTCGAAGAGTTTCCCCGCCTCGCTTAACAGGCAAATAGGCCTATACGAGGACGGGGAAAGATCTGGCTTACCCGGCTTTTTAATAAGAACCAATCTGGCCCTTTTCCACTCACGCGGGAAGTGCCCCTCCCTGAAGCAACCCGTGAAGCATCTGGCCCACAAAGAAACAAGATACTTCATTGTGTCTTTAACGACCACACCCGCGACACCGTCCGGGCCAGGAGCCTTCCCGGACTTAATATTAAGTCCGGCCTCCAAGACCTCCTCAACCGTGACCGCAAAATCGTCCCGCCATATGAATGACACATCAGTGCCCTATGGAGAGCAATCCGTTGAGAAGAGAGTCCCGACGATATCTCCCACTATCTCAGAGGGGAGCATCCTCACAATCGAGGCACCGCCCGCACGCAGCTTTTTAAGAACGACCCGATAGGGCATCCCCCAAGGGTCCCTATTCAAGTCGTCAATCAGTTCGGCCCACAACTTAATCTTAGAGCGGACAATCGCTCTCCTGAGGCTACGCCTAGCCTCCCGTAGGGCATCCCAAAGCTCGCGTAGGGACTCCCGAGAGGTACTCCTCTTCGCACGCGCACGCATGAGACGCCTTCTGCACGCGTTGCAGCCACGGCGAAGATCTACGATCTTCTGGTTCCACCAGTAAGTGGGGGGTCTCCTCGGCAACTCCCTCCTGGGCATGGAGACATCCGAGATATCCCGGAGCAGCCGATCCATCCGTTTAGCTCCAAGCGCGGCATCCTCAGGAATACCGTTCCAAGCCGAAAAGACCGCCGCGGCTTCCAAAAGATCCGGATTAATTCTTCCGACAGCCCATCTCGGAGGCCTTGAGAACAGTCCCTCCGATAGTGGGCCCGGTCAAAGAGGCATTAATTTCGGAAAAAACATATTTATGATCCGAAAGGGACTCCACCTCCGATCCCATGCGCCAAGAGGTGATCCTCCTAGCAGCAGAGGATGACACCAACGCGAGGTCAACACACGACACACCACGCGGATGCACGCACATCGGTTTCGAAACAGCGTTGAACAAGTGTAAATCTAATAGTCCCAACCAATCCATCAGAAGTTTACCCCTCCTGCTGGGTTGTCCAGGGTCCCAAACGTGCGTTGGAGTCACCTATAATAAGATAATCGGGCGACCCATCACTTCCCGCACTTTCGCCTCCAGCTCGCGCAAGTCATATAGAAATTCACTATTACGAAGACTGGGAGGAAAGTAACATGATACCACGATCATATCCCCCCAATCCACCGCCGCGAACCGCGTGCCTCTCCAACGAGGAGAGCACGGCACCCTCGAACGACTCCACTGCCAGGTAATAGCGGCTGAAGGAGGAACGTCCGTGGAGGCAAGCCAACGATCGTCCTCCGGAACACGATTCGGCTCCGATACTGCGACCAGCCTCAAATTAAATTCCTCGCAGACCCTGGAAATTAAGTCCTGCAAGGGTCTCGACCGGTTAACGTTAATCTGGGCCAGCCTAGCCATCGACTGTATTCATAGCTGACTCCTCGTCCACAGGAACCGGGGCTCCCCGATCAGCCCCAGCGGATGCACTCTCCACACAACTCACACTCTCTCTCCTTGCTGGCACTTGTCCGCGACCATTAAAGGGCGTGCACTCCGTCGCCCCGGCGCGATGTCCCGCCGCGAGACCCCTAGCCGTACACTGGGCAATGCGGAGGCAGCCGGCAACTAGCGGCCCTATGCCCATCGTTCCCGCCACAATGGAAGCACCATGCAGAACGATCCACCATACTCTGGCAGTTCATCCTGGTGTGACCCACCGTCAAACAACGGAAACATTGTAGTCTCCGCTTCGCTAAAGGCACAATACTAGCGGAGGACCAATCGAGTCTAATCCGTCCGACTTTTATTAATTTATTCGCACACGTGAGAGGACATTGCACCCATATCATGTTAAGTCCCACACGCCCTGGCCTAAAGGGGCCAATTCTAATGTCTGTAGTAGGAACTTCCCCAATAGTAGCCACCGCCTTGATCACTTCCTCTGCAGTTACAGACTGATCAACATTAATCAGCCTGATTTCCGCGCGACGAACAGGACGCACAACACTAACTCTGTCCTTAAAGTCGCTTTCAGCTAGCACAGCCTTGAGACGATCCACGAGCGCCTCCGCCTTAGCACCCGCCTCCTCACCTCCAGGGATCTCAATGAGAAGCTTGTGCTTTTCGGATCCGTGTGTTGACAATATTCAATTCTTCCAGGGAAATCTTCCCTCTTGCCAACCTCACATCCGCGTATGACGGCCCGGAATTATCCTCTATCTCTGCACATCTCAGTAGAACAGCCGTAGTCTTTGGAGCGCGAAATCGAGATTCCCTCGTGACAGGGCGACTCGGCACTACCCTCGGACCCCGTACCGTAGGGCTTCCGCATCCTTTCGGCTCCCAGATATGCCACCCGCGACAGCGGCATACGAGACACGGGCAGTCTTAGATACATCACTGCTGGTAATATCCCGACGCGTACTACCAACCCCATTCAAGGAGGGAGGCATAACACCCAAGTCAGTTATATTTCCGGCTTTCGCGCTGGGAACCTCAACTTTCTTCCTTTTCTTCTTTCTGGCTTTTTTACGAGCACGTTTGGAGCCTGCCACCGTCCATGCCTCACCCCGATGGGATACGTCGGCAAAGGCGACGGAAGCCCCACTCGCTGAGCGCCTGTTGATACAGCCTCACTCCCCCCACGCACAGTACCCTTGTCCACTCGCAAATCATTACAATCGTTCGAGGCGATCCGCGACGAATCTACCATAATGATACGTCCTGATCTGTCACTTTGATGGGTCGAGGAGGCACATCCTCTAACTTTTTGCGAGCCCCACCAAGAGACAGCCTATATATCGGAGGCATGTTTGAAGGCCCAGCCTCACACATCGCCTCGACCACATCCAGTTCCCGAAGCCGCGAAGAGCGCTTCCAAGAGCGGCGCGAAATAGGAGAGTCGCGCACAGAAACGGCCCTGTCCGAGGATGGAGTACGATCCCTGCCGCGATCCCCGCCTCTCAACGATTGCACCGTACGCTTGAGAGATTCTACTTGATCACTCAAGGAGACCCTCTCGCGACGCAATATATCCATCTCGCGACGGAGTTTCACAACTTCTATCTCTAGGGCAAGATTATTAGCCTTTATCTCATCCGATGGCCCCTTAGCGATATCAGACACCAGACGCTGCACCGCAATTTTCGCAACATTAACACCTATCTTTATTTGCCGACGAAGAGCACCGTTCATTGTCTGGGTCCTCCTCTCGGCCTCACCGGCAATGTCCAGGACACGCAGTGTCTCAGCTACAACCGACTTCGGAGACATCTGGGGAAAAAGTCCCGTGACCTCCTCAACAGCAGTCTTCTGATTAGAGGAGAGTCTGTCATCCAGGTTGCACTCAACCCAGCCTCTTCTCCTCTTCAGACTTTGTGTTTCCTTCTTTGGGATCTTGGGAAAAAAGTCCTCTCTATCCCACTCGTCGTCCTCCAACTCTAACCGCCTGGACGATATCTTCGACATAGCGCGAGAGCCAGGGGCATTACTGTCCTTTGGCTTACGTCCCCTCTTTTTGCCCTTACGAGACCTGTTCAAAAGAGGATGAAAGTTCCCTATAATCCTCTACCGAAGTAGACTCGAGCGAGACACTACCACTCCGCGAACCCGCACGATCCACTACCATCCCCTCGTCACTAGATGCAGGTAAGGTGAAGCCCGCCACTCCCGTGTTCCCAACCGGACCAAAGCCGCTGGGAGCCGATGTGCTAGCCGAACCACTGTCAGCGACGGAGTTCACGATCTCATCCGCCACCACTCTTATCCTCATCTCCTTGGGGTATTTCTTCATCTCCACAATCTTCGGCCCCCTCCTGGGATGCAGGACTCTACCCGAAGAGGCAGACCCAGAGGCCACCGAGTCCTCGGCCGAAGCGGCCGCAGCGTCAGCCTCCATGCGGTCCAGACGCAACCACAACTCCTTTTTTTTCTGCGGCAACGGAGACGGCAAAGCAACCTCAAGCTCCGCCCGTTCCACAAGTCCAGGAGATGCGGGTTTCTTCGTACCCGAAGTATCCTTCACAGCTTCTATCCGGAGCAGGTTCAACTGTAGGGCCCGTCGGCAACCCTACAGTCAGCTCATCGCTTGATGACGACATGCCGGGGGCAGGGACAATACCCCCGGTCAGCCGGTCCTGAGTTTCGAATCTCAGGCGGTTATTCTCGTTATCAGTATCCATGTCATGTGTTGTATAGGTTGCCGGCGTAAGTACGGCCGAGGAGCACGCCGACCAACTCCTCGGTTCGTCTTCGATCTTCTTCGGCGTCGAGATAGCCGCCACATCGATGTAGGGAAGAAAATACAGCAAAACTTTCTACTGGAGGGAAGTTCACCCACACATCGATGGAGGAGTGTCAACAATCCCGCCACAGTCCGCGCACAACAACCACGCGCGAAAAGAGACCATCGGACCGACGACACTCCCATTGCAAAAGGCACAGATTTCGATCGCCCCTCACTAGCTGGGATAGATCTCAATTCCCCCTCACTTGGCCGCTGTTGAGTGGTTCACCCACCACCCATTTATCCCGTGGCCGCGCACTGTCTTTACCACGAGACAGGGGGACCTTTTATAGAGGGCCCACCTCGTCATCCGAGAAGTCGGGTGCAATCTTGGACGCTCGGTCTCTTCCAGTGGTGCAAGGAAAGAGATTACGAGAGCTCAGGCACCGCGGGTTCGCTAAACCCGTAGTGGAATCATATCAAGATGCGTCCGGGGATGCCGGATCGCATCAGAGATGACCCCACCCTCTGCGGGGACCCTAAGCGCCGTAACAGAAGATCCTGATAACCTCTAAGCTTTAACACCCGTCATTTTCTAATAGGCTGTGTACCTTCTGTCATTTCCGAACCGTCCATTGAACACATAAAACTTTTTTACCTTTCCAGATGGCAATTAATACGACAAATGACAGAAAGTTTTTGGATTAGATGGTTCAAAGAGTGCCTTCAACGCTACTATGCTAGATATAAGAGGAACAAACCCATGCTCTTCCTAACTATCGGGGATCTCGTTCTTGTGGTCGATGAATGATATCCATCGTGCAAATGGCCTATCGGATATATTATTCAAACTCATCCTGACAGACTTACTCGAGTTGTTACCTCAGTACTGAAGCGCTCTATTGGGAAGATATATACTCTTCCATTTTTTCACGAAACGTTGTGATATTTTTCTTTTTTTTTTTTCATTAACATTGTTAATGAAGGTGGGCGGAATGTTTAAAGTTACTACTCGAAGTTTATCTTAATGTATATTGGTAACAATGTAAGTTGGATAGACAGAGGCAGCGCTGCAGATGGGGGCGCTAGTGCACGTCCATCTTGTCTTAACAACCTCCCCGCTCTGCTCGTTTTTTCATTCATCTTGATTTTTCTCGAGTTAAATAGAACTCTCTCGTGTATACGCACGTTTACAAAAGTTGAGTCTAGAAATGCTCGGTCTTACAAAAGTCGAGTCTAGAAGTGCTCGGTCTTACAAAAGTCGAATCAAGAAGTGCTCGGTCTTACAAAAGTCGAGTCTAGAAGTGCTCGGTATCTGTGATTGCCTCACAAGCCCAACTTAATCAAACTCTCGCTAAGCTTAGGAACAAGGATCCGAGTATCGTACCTTACAAGTACAGGTATCACCTACAGAGTGCTCACTTACACGAGGTTTTCGAGCCATCTCGGATCAATGAATCGAGTATATTTCATGACGATCCTCCCTGGTGTATTATCGAGGATTATAGACAGCATTGAAGTTATTATAAAGAAAACGTAACATTCAAGGATATAAAAACTTACGCTAGGTCCTCACGTACGACTTTATTATCATTTGATAATCATCCAGAAATCCGATCCGGATATACGCAATGGTTTTGATACCATTCTTGGATGAAATACTGTAATTATTGTAATACTTGATTATTCTTTACGTTACGGTGAGTAAAACCGCCATTTTGATTAAGTATCCTTTCATTACGTGTTCGATGGAATCAATTTATTTATTCGATGATGTTTTTTGTGAATTGACGGTGACTCATCATAATAATAGTAGCAATAAAATATTATAATTTAGTTCAAAATTGTTATTCTTGCGTTAATATTTTTCCTGCTTTATATTTAATATAAAAATTTATATCCATTTTTCCTAAAGGTATATCAATTTTAACTTTACGAATGTTTTTTATACTTATATAAGTATTACTATTATGTATTTTGTATTACTATCTATGTACACACACACACACACACACACACACACACACACAATGCGTCTTCGCGCGGCCGCTCTTAAGGGCGATACACAATCGCAATAGTTGGGCGTCAAGCACGAGCAAGCGTGCCACTCTTTCTCGAAATTACGCGATATTTTCTTTATACAATATTCTAACGAGCTGTAAATGTCGACGGGCTCTCAACCGGTAGCTCAGCTTCGGAAATGGCAGAGAGGGTGGTTCATAGTCGAGGATACCGGATCGTTTGGAGGAGCGAGCAGGGACGGCAATAAAGCACACCCGAATTAACAATAGGAAAGATAACAAGTATATTGAATGAGTCTTCTTTTTGCATCTATATCTGCCGACAAAATCGTGACGATAAGCTCTAATCGAGCGCGATAACGGCTTTACACAGGCTCCGATGCTTTACACTAGACGTATCAATTTCGTTAGATTCCCGTGGCACGAGCTCACGCCACCCAGGGATACTCTAGCGAATTATACGAACAAGACTTTGCCGCCTCAAAAATACGATGAAATTCGGCAACGATTGCAGCGTGGACACGGTGATTTCGTGCGTGTTCGCGGAGCTTCGCGCCACTCAACCGAAGTTCAGAGAAAGATAGAATATACGCAAACTCGACGTTACACAATCTTGATACGCGCAATTATTAATGGTTACAATAAATTATCATTAATCACTATGACACAGAGTACCGATACTCTAATAGACGTGTAGATCTTACGCTGCGAGTTTCCGAAACGACAAGATACGCGCCGATAGTTTGACACGGTACGATACAAAAGAAACAGGACACGCGACAAACGCTTACAAGAAATGACGAGGCAGTGGCCTTGGCGGACGCAGTAGAATTTCCCCCGACTATGATGGACCGTCCCGGGAGGCGATACGCGTACTCGAGCTCCCCGGAAATCTAAGGCACGGCAGTGCCACGTGCGCTCGCTATAATACACCCGATAGGGTTACAATAAAATTGTGCCTCCCGGATTCGGAAACCAGCGACTTTACAGCCTGTGACGCTTGTCTCACCGTGACCTCCCGCTGGTACTAGTCTCCTTTCTCGCTCAGTTCTTGTCTTTCCGCGAGGTTCCTGCGTCCTTCTATGTACACTTGTTTAGCCGGTCACAGCATAAGTGCCGGGCGCTGATCCTCCCGGGGGTAGGCTAACGCAGGGCTCGTTATCCCCGCGAGGGGACCTTATCGTGCCTTATTGGCGTGTGGCTCCGCGGCTCCGCTAATAGCGGGAACCGTGTCATGCCCATGTCGCATGTCCTGGAGCGCGAAATTCGAGAGGCCGCAGGCGCCTGCTCGGGGCTCTCGCCGTCCTTGGGGCGTAGAGTGACCGCCCTCGTCCTGCCATTCCAATTCTTGTTCCGCCTGGGGCCTGGAAGATGATGCGATAGAAAGTGTCTTGCAATAGCAAAAGGGCGTGAATGATATCACCTGCGTGTGACCCGGGGGACAGGGTGTGCGCCTCGGCAAATCCGTCGGCAGCAATCGTTACTCGACTTTTATTTCTGGCTGTCCTTCTTCTTCTCTCTTCACGGTCCGGCGAGGCGGCGTCAATCTGTCCAGATCGCGGGAGTCGCCAACCTCTATAACTCTCGGTATGGAAATTCACAAAAAAAGAAATGAAAAAAACGATAACGCGAAGACACGCAAATAATGTCGCAGAAAAAGCGTAGAATGCGTTCGCCCCCTAAAATGTAGAAGGATTCAAGACGCGAGACTGCACTGTTTGGTCGAGCCATGCGGCCTTGTGACGGACGAAAAACATTACATCACAATATATATACATATACATACATATATATTGTATATACAGAGTGTAGAAAAAGTTCTCTTCAATATCTTGAAAAGTAATCATTTTTGAGAAAAATGTTCTATACAAAAATTGTAGGGTTGAAAATGATTTATTGACTGACATTATCAATTTGACCTTGGATGGCGCCACCAAGGTCAAGTCAAATCGATTTTTTTTATTGATTCTCCTCCTCAACGACTGGCGTTGTAGATGACTGCGCCGCGCCTTCATACCGCCGCTACTCTTGAAACCGCTCAGTGCTCAGGCTCCGGTGTCATCGGCCTTAGTGGAATGAGCGGGGACGTACACCGCCTATTATTGGTGGTGTAACGACCGCCACGGATGGTGACGTTGCTTCCTCTCCGATGGTTGGGAGGATGTTTCTTTGGGAGAAGCTCGGTGGTGGTGTTGTTTGCCTCTCCACGTCACCAGTGAAGC